ACGGATTTAATGGTGAAAACAGATTTTTTAATTAGATTTTTTTATTAGGAGATAAAACATTTTTAAGCTGAAAACCAAAAAGATTCCTGCTGATATCATCTGTTCTGACGTGGCAAAATGAGTAGTAATGAAGACGTGTGGGCGATGTGCAAGACGCCACACGTGTGGGCGTTAGTTTTTTCCTTTATTTTTGGGTATTTTTTGACAAGCAATTGCTGCGAAAGCCCATCAAAGTTAAAAATCTTCCACCACCATTTACACAAGTCATCATAATCAAGTTTTGAATACCTAAGCCCACATATCTTTAGGCCTACACACCTCAGACCATTTTACCAGGTGGTACTTTTCTTATCTTCCTCTTCTTGCCACAACAATCTTGCCCTAAAGAAATCCATTCTCCTGTTGACCCCAATAGGGAGCCCATAGAAGGCATAAAATAAGGAATGCTAGTCAAAGAGTGATAAGAGTTATCCTACCAACACTGGCAAGCAACCTGCCTTTCCAATTGCTACATTTTTTTCATTTTGTCTCCGGGAGGTTTCTAACTCTTGATTCTAATCCTCTTATCATATATAGCTGGTCCAAGTTATCTCATAGGGATAGAGCCCACTGGACAATAAAAGATTGTAGAGATTTTTCTGCTTTATTAGCAGCAGCTCCAAACAAAAATAATTCACTTTTATGAAAGTTATTTTTTAATCCAGGCATTTGCTCGAAAAACACAACACAAGTTTTAAATTATGTGCACTATCATAATCATCCTACAATAAAAATTTGTATCACCTGCATATTACAGCATGTTAGTCCCATTGTCCACATTTTTCTCTAAAACTCCTTTAGTTAAACCATTTATTCTAGCATTATCCAAAATCATGGCTAAAGCATTAGCAGCCAAATCAAAAAATGAGGGAGGACAAGGAATCTCCCTGTCTCAACCCTTTATGTGTAGGAAAAAGGTCCCAAGTTCTCATTGGCTTTTATACACACATTACCACCCTTTATAGTATCGACCAATTTATCAGGAAACCCTTTTATTTTGAGCATTTGCAAAACAAAGGGCCACTTGACCTTATCACATGTTTTTTTCCTTCAAAATCCACTTTAAACATCATAGCATCTATAAAAGCATTTTGTATTGGATAAATGACCTCTCCAGCAGCCTCATTGAACCTATTCATGAGAACTTTGATAGAAAAAATAAAGCTCACATTTAGCAAGAAAATGGGCCCGAACTTCTGAATCTGATTTGCATCCTTAGTTGTAGGAACCAAAGTAATAATCCCATAGTTAAGCCTAGCTATATCTAAATGTACCATTATGAAAATCATCAAACAGAGCTTTAGTAGCCATTTTCACCAGATCCCAAAAGTGTTGATAAAACTCCGAGGGCCTGATGATTTTTTACGAGCCATAACAAAATTTACAGTGGTGTATTACTTAACAAAGTTTTTTTTTTGCATAAGAGGAAATTTTAAAACTTTTTAGCGTACAAAGGGACATGTTTTTTGGAAAGGGCTTAATGAAATCACCGCCAAGATAGCGAGCCCAGCCCAGCGCGTGTGGCCTAGCCCAAACAGCTCCTCTGATCCGGACCCATAGTCGGAAGCCTTGCACCAATCTTGAGGCACCCCCGCTGCCGCCTCTTCTCGCGCGCCGTGCGAAAACAAAACCCTGCCGTCTCCCCCTTCCTCTGCGGCGTATCTAGGGTTTTTACCTCCCCGCTCCGCCTGCCCACACGCGCTTCCCTCCAGAAGCTTCTAGACACTTCAGTCGGAGGAGCAGCTCACGCCGCGCAGCAGCCATGGCGTCCACCAAGGTCCAGCGTATCATGACCCAGCCCATCGTACGCTCCCCGAACCCCTCGCACGCATATGCTCTCCTCCTCTTTTTGCATCTGTTTCCTAACGTTTTGGCGCTTTTGTTTCCCGCTGCTGCGACGGTCGGCGAATCCATGGTGCGCGACGGCAGAATCTCATCTTCCGGTTCCTCCAGAGCGTAAGTGTTGACTGAGGGAAAAAAAATAACAATTCGTCTGTATTTTTTTTCCACCTTACGTTTTAGGGTTGCTGACGGTTCGCTCGAGCTAATTTGGTTCTAATTTTGGTGCAGAAAGCGCGCATCCAGATCTGGCTTTTCGAGCAGAAGGATATGCGGATCGAGGGTCGTATCATCGTAAGTTCCTTCACCGATTTCTTGTTCAAATTGATAGAATTTAGCCTCACCAATCCCTCTGTGGTCGTTCGCATGTATGTTAAGTGAATGTAACTCTGTATCTGCATACCATGTGGCTTTGAGGGTAAATTATTAACATGTATTACTTGTATCTCAGCAAGTGGGGGTGAATTGATTAATACTCTAGTATAATGATAAAACTGGTAACTTAGTAGAACACATCTGTTTGTTTGTTTTGTTAAAAGCTAACATGAAAATGTGTTGGCGTCTTTTCTCAAGAATTGGTAAACACTTGCAAATAAATCTGCATGCTCAATACCAAAGATTAATTAAGTGCTTGGACAACCAACATGATATGTGCACTCTTTAAGCATCTGAAATTGATGCTAACTAGCTGCTAATAGATGGGTGAAACCTAGCATTTCTTTGTGTAACTTATGCTTTGTCTGGTCAAGAGGGACATAACCTAGTTTCAAGCTTTATTATTTCTTTGTAACACTGAAACCAACCCAATCTTGACCTTTAAAATCAAGTAACAAGTAGTTACTTGGTTCCTTGTGGAACCACGAACAAGTAATAATAGCACTATCCATGTGCCCAGTCAGAACTTCACCATACTAGATACTGAAGTGTTTGTAGAAGGTATTTTCTAGATGTGTTCCTTTTGGGACCATAGTGGTCATGGGCATTGTTTTTTGAGTCGTGAATATCATTGGTGTAGGTTCGTGGTAACTTGATTGCAATCTAGATAAAGAAATAGTGGTTGGTGATGGATGGTAACCACAAGTGTGCTTACTCAGTCAATGATATTAATAGTTTTAGCCTTAGAAATTAGCTTATCGTAACTTTTTGCCCCAGGCTCAGGACCTTCCCTTTGTAACTTACTGTTAGTCAAACATGTGTGTTTGGTGCGTCCTGTCTCATGATTTTTTTATCACTCTATGTGTTGTTTTGAATCACCCTCAAGACTTGCAATCCCCCCTTCCCCTTGTTAACGAATATGATGCTTATCGGTGATTGTGTTTGGACAACTAAGTATATAGTCCAGGGGGCTAAAAATGCCTTTATTTTAAATTACACTAAATCTTTCATCCTACACATTCTCTAGAACTGAAGCATAGGTTGCTGCCTAAGGCTTCAGTATGATTTTTCTCTTGTCATGGTTTGGTTTTACCGACGAGTGATAAGGTTACGATGTGATGTGCCTATGCTGTGTGCTGCTTCAGTTGTGTTTGCATTTCTTTCCAGTTTACATGTTTGAGTCGCATCTTAATAAGTCCACATGGGCTCGTGGGTTTTTCAGTATTGTGCCTGTCATATTTTTGCTGCCATACCCTCACCAGTTTCTCAGACTTTTGTTGCCATATCCCTTGTCTCTTTCTCTAACTTTTGCTTTTAAAACTGTGAGAAGAAAGAACAGATTATTTGGCTGCCTATATTAGATTTGCCTGAAGGATTGGAGTATCACCAAAGAACTAGCTATGGACAGGGGTGCGTGGAAGCTTGCTATCCATGTGCCAGAGCCATGAGTTGGTCGCGAGATCTTATGGGTTTCACCTCTAGCCTACCCCAACTTGTTTGGGACTAAAGGCTTTGTTGTTGTTTGTATATTAGATTTGCCTGTATTATAATCATCTCAATGAGACAAGTTGGTCTGAAGCATGCCAATAACAGATTTCACATACAGTCAATTTAAAATATCCTTTTTCACTGTATCCTTGTTTGAATGGTTTGTGTACATGTGTGGTTTATTGTGTCATATTGAGGAATGCTGGGTTTTTATACTGTTTGTGTGTTCTGCAGGGCTTTGATGAGTACATGAACCTGGTTCTCGAGGATGCTGAGGAAATCAACATTAAGAAGAACACCAGGAAATCGTTGGGTTAGTACATTTGTAACCAAGCTTTATCCTAACAGAACTAAGGATAAACATTATCTCATAAGTTCTAGTATCTAATTTCTATTTTGGAAATTGGCAGGAAGGATACTCTTGAAAGGTGACAACATAACTCTGATGATGAACACGTAAGTGAAAGTGCCATGAACCATTGAATCCATGTTTTTGCTCCTGTAATCGCAAGCAACAAGGCCTCTAAATTCTGCAATCTCTTTTTTTTTGTTGCAGTGGAAAGTGAAGCTTCTCTCTCTAGGATGGCTGGCGTTCTCGTTCCTGTGTTGAGCATTCCTGTGATACTTTGAACTCCACCCAGGCTGAAATGCATGTAGCTTGTCGTTGTGGTCACTGAGCATATGTAACGTCTGTTGTCTATCTATGAACCCAGACCCAGTAAATCCATTCTGTAGACTCCGTGCAAGATGTTTGATCAAGATGATGAGCTTATCGGTTGCGTTTAAGATTGACATGAACAGACCTTGTTGACTTTTTCTGTTGTTGAGCTTATTAGTTACTATGACTGTATGTTATGTTTTTTTCACTGCTTATGAGTGAAACGCTTGATTTCCCTCGTGCTGAAGGACTGCTAGCTGAAACTGAATTTGCTACCAGATGACTCGGCAAAGTTAATTATCAACATAGATTTGTACATATCTTATTCTAGGGTACAAAGTTCATTATAAACATAGATTTATCTGTATATGATTGGAAAGAACATAATCGGTTTTAAAATCTTTTCAAAGACTTTCTATCAGGAAATATCAATAGCAATTGCACAAGTTCTTATGTTCATCACAGCGATAGCAATGCAAGCTCATAATCTCCCTTACAGATAATCTGATTGGATTCACTTGCTGGATTCTTTGCTTGTGATCATGAGATCAAACACACATGTATTGCTTGTGATGATATGAGATCAAACGTACATTTAAGATCAAAAGAAGAACCACCTGCTCTTAGCCTTGTTCTTCTTGCTCATCATCTCCTTCCTCTTCTCCTCCAGTTCCAGTCTCTCTTCCTCGTCCTCGCTACTCGTGCTGCTCTTGTCTCCCTCTTCCTTCTCCTCGGCGTTGCTGGCACCACTGCCGGCAGTGGCGACGTCGAGCCGCGCGGCGTCCATCGCCCACCGCATCACCTTCTCCACCTCGTCCTCCTCGTCCGATTCCCCTCCCAGATCCTCCAGCCGCACCCTCGTCTCCTTCTCAGGGCAAACCGCCGCGCCTTTCAGCGGCGCGAACCGTGCCTCCATCTCGTCCATCCCGCCGGCTGTAGGGGCGGGGGCAGCACCTGGCCGCTTCGGCGCCGGCGGGCGGGACCTGAGCGCGTCGAGGCGGCGGGCGAGGTCGTCGTCCAGTGGACCGGGCCCCTCGTCCAGTGCAAGAGGGTTCGAAGCGGCGGAGAACGACGACGAGACGAGGTGGGAGTTGGCCTGGAGCTTTAGGAGCACGGCGTCCTGCGCCGCCCGGAGCAGCGCTTCCACCTCCGCATCGTCGCCCACCGGCTTCCGGCCGCCGCCGCTCATCGTGGTGGATTTCGCGTGGAAATATTCCCTTCCTCGCCTTCTACAGACTACAGTCCACTGGGTTCTGCCTTCTGCGTATTTGGTGACTAGGGCGAACGGTCCGTGTAAAGCCCAGTCCGTCTCCGTCCCAGTCTAGGCCCATCCATTAGTGATCAATTTGTTCTAAAAACAGTAATTGCTTTCTTTTAATAATCTCAAAATGAATTAACCGTATTCATCCCCACCTTTAAGCTTCCCAATGGCGGAACCCTAAGCTAATTCCACGCCTCCCACCTCGCCCAGCGCGCATGGACCAGCCGGCGTCGGACGCCGGCGCCTGCCTCGAGGTCCGCCTCTTCTACGTGCGCCTATCGCCCCGCAGCTCCGGAGCTGCCGCCCCGCCACGGCTCTCGCTGGCCATCCACCACGCCGGGACCGAGGCCTCCCCCTCCTCGCTCCCTCTCCGCCTCGACCGCTGCGACCCAGTCTCTGGCGAGGCCACCTACGTCTCTACCGCGGCCGCGCGCCTCCCCCCGCCCGACGCCTCCTTCGAGGTTGCAGACCACCGCGACGCCGCCCTCCTCCGAGGCACCCTTCGAAGGTGCCCTGACGCCAAGGCCGATTCCCCTGTCTGGGCGATCGACTGCGTCCCCGCCGATGCAGCGGCGGCCTCAGCCTCGGCCTTTGAGGTCTATGTTGCCGGGTACTGCGCAGGTGAGCCCGCCGTTCTTACGCGAGCCCTGCGGCTGGCCACCCCGGAAGAGGCTGCTGGCGGATTGGTTCGCCGGCGATCAGCACCTTTGGCGGTGAGTTAATCAAAATTCGACAGCATTAGTTGCTCCATCTTACTGATTAGTACGACCTACAAGGGATGTAGCTTTGCTATATGAACAATTGTGGCAACAAAAAGGGTCCTAATAATGTAGTATATGCATAAGCTGCAGAATGGTTGCTCCATCTTACTGATTAGTACGACCTACAAGGGATGTAGCTTTGCTATATGAACAATTGTGGCAACAAAAAGGGTCCTAATAATGTAGTATATGCACAAGCTGCAGAATGTGCCTACTTGTTTGAACTATGATGGGCACCAGATGACAGGCAAATGCTCTGATAGCCAGATTTTGTGTGGACTTCTCTTCCAGTTCTTCCTATAGATATAGTAGTGTCTCATTATTGTAACTGCTTTGCTCGTTCAGGGTGTTTATGGTTGCAAATTTGCCTTGCTTTTCAGCAAATATTTGTCGCCAACTGTGCTATCGCTACGCCCGAAAATGGAAAGCTGCTTTAGATGTTAGACCCTCCCTGTAACTTTCCGTTGTTAACTGATTATGACTGGTATTCTGGTAAAAAAGTCTTTTACTAGACTTTTAAATTTATGTATTTTTTGCCTATTGTTGCAAAGTACTCTTGTAGACTTAAAACAATATTTAGAAGTGTCATGGTGATTATTATTTTTAGTATTAGTGTTGTCGGTACATTTGATAAATATATTCTATATGGATGGAAATCCTAGCCACATAGTCTATTATTTATTTCTGCGTTGGCTAGTATAGCTTGGAGTATTATAAAGTTGAACGTAACTTAATCTTTTTGCCATGTGATCATGCATTAGATCATACATGTAGATCTCATCTTAAAAAGATTACCAAGCGGCATATTATGTAGTAAGATAGGAACTGGTGGTGTAGGGATGCTGCTATTATCCTTTAGTAGCCTGATTCCATAATACGCATATTACCAAGCTGCATAATGTGCCCCCTCTTCAAAATTGGATCAAACAGGTATTCTTATGTTATGATATTACCTAACAATGCAACAAAGGTGGCCAAATTTACTTTGCAACCAGACTCATGTCATATGTTAATAAGGGTTTGAAACTTCAAAGCACGGAGAATTACACCTGTTAGCTTAGGTCTACTTTCCAGCCGTCTCTTGGTAAATTTTTCGCAGTGTTTCCTTTGATGATTCGTGTGAGCCTGTCAGTGTGAGGTCACAGGTATTAGGTTCCATGAGTTTTTGTTTCAATCTTGCTGTTTCAGATAATCTTGTTGTGTTCAAGGTTCAGTGACAGTGGGAAATTGTTGCTAAGTCAAGGTATTACAGCATTTGATGCCGTGTCTATTACTGACATTATCTCGGGGTATTTGCTTTGTCACACTTCAGTTGGAACAGCATGCTTGGGGTGAATCTTAGTTTCTTATTTATTGAACCCCTAAAATTTCTGTTAGTTAATTAGTGTCTCTTTCTCAGGCTATGTGTGATGAAGACGAGAGTGACATGAACATGGGAACCAGGGCATACCCTGAAGGATGGTACTCTGATGACGACGACGGGCAACTCACATGGTTCAACGCTGGTGTTAGGGTTGGCGTCGGGATTGGGCTGGGAGTCTGTGTTGGAGTTGGTATAGGCGTTGGGCTCCTCATGAGCTCCTACCAAGCAACGGCCAGGAACCTGAAGAGGCGGTTCTTCTGACACTGTCGCTACAAAGGGCTCGGACGGCCAGTAAGTAGAGATGGCCCATCCGATGATGTTCCGCGCTGAACCAACCGCCGTATGTATAGTTGGTGGATTTGTTGTTCGTTGCATTGTTGCTGGTCGTCTGGAGTTTTTGACTTGTGTAGCTCTCATATCTGTGTATGTAATCTGTGAAGGTGTCCCTGAACTTGTGGAAGTGGCAAAAATGGACTTGGCATGGAGCAGACGCACTGTGGCCTTATTTTGTAAGCTTCAGAATTGTGCTACAAGTCAATAATGTGTATACAAGTGCGACAGCCTTTCGCTATGAGCGAATGTTGTCGGATGTATGTTTCGTCAGTGTTTAGAAGCACATGATAGTAGTAGGTAAAGACTGTTCGTTAGGCAACTTGTCTATGATGAGCCGTTCTGCCTTGCAGAACAAAATTGTCAATGTGTTGTAGATGGGAACTTGGCGAAAAGGGGGAAAAGAATGCTCGGCGAGGGATCGTGTACAGTAGTTGATAAAACAAAGGTCAAAGAGAGAAATCGTAAGAAAAAGTCTTATTTAATAGGTCATCTCGTAGCATAAATTGTCTCACCCAAGCTTTTAGGAAAACTAGTTATTAAAGATAAGGCTAAGAGATAACCCGTTGATAAGGCTTAAGATAAAACTATCTTATCAATCACTGTACATGTCATAAGACAATAAAAACATATGTACAATCTTCTTATCTGTAACTAGATACCCCTAAGACCAACTTCAATGGGGCGACCCAAACGGACGACGATTTCGTCTGTTTTTTGTCCGTTTGGGTCGGACGTCCGCCCGACGTCCGCCCTGTTTTAGATATGGGTCAGTAGCGCACTCAATGTGCCGACCCATGTGTGCCGGCGTGACGAGTTGGCCGCCCTATCTATACCAATATAAAAAGACCCAAATGGGCAGATCCAAACCATCTCAACCGTCAAATCATTTTATCTAGCGGTTTAAATCGCTTCAATATTGAGCACCAAACACATTTAACGCTCTAATTACCCACCACTACCATTGGTTATAAACACGTTTCGACTCAACGATATCCCATGAAATCTGCCATGTAATTAATATCCTACCATTTCCGTGAAAAAAGTAATTGATATCTTACCAAATACCAACGTGCAACAGATATATCTTACCTAATATAACGTGCAACTAATATCCTACCTAATATAAACGTGTATTGCACGTACATCATTACTAGTTTCAACAAATAGCTCATTTTTACATTGAATATGCATTTAAACATATAGTCAAATAACATAGTTTGAACCGAATAAAATAACATAGTTTAAAAGCCAAATAAAAATAAAAATGTCTCACATAGTTTTGCAAGCCGAATAAAAGAAAATACATCAATTGGTTGCCAACATGAGCCCACATATGCTCAACCAAATTATTTTGCAGTTGCACTTGAGTTTCTCAATCACGCATGTCATGATGAAATTGGGTGAACTGTTCAAACGTTATCGCTCCTCCATGCTCAGGCACAACATTCTCACCTTGAAACTGAAACCCTTGATCGTACAGATGTTCTGGGCGCTCGTCTTCTACGATCATATTGTGCATGATCACACAAGCAGTCATCACCTCCCTCAGTTTCTACGTGCTCCAGGTATTAGCAGGAAACCGAATGCTGCCCCATCGAGATTGCAAAACACCAAAGGCACGCTCGACATCCTTCCTAGCACTCTCTTGCTCTTGGGCAAATCTTTTCCTCTTCTCTCCGACAGGGTTGGGGATTGTCTTGGCAATAGTGGTCCACTGAGGATAGATGCCGTCACCCAGGTAGTATCCTTTGTCATAGTTGTGGCCGTTGGTAGTAAAGTTCACCGATGGGCTGTTACCTTCGGCAAGCCTAGCAAACACCGGCGAGCGTTGAAGCACGTTGATATCATTGTGTGATCCAGCCATGCCAAAGAAAGAGTGCCAGATCCAGAGGTCTTGAGACGCCACGACCTCTAGTATGGCAGTGCAAGCCCTGACATAGCCCTTATACTGCCCTTGCCAAGCAGAAGGGCAGTTCTTCCACTCCCACTGCATGCAATATATGCTGCCAAGCATCCCTGGGAAGCCCCTGCTGGCATTCATCGTCAACAAACGGGTTGTATCTTCAGGAGTCGGCTCTCTTAAGTACTCAGGGCCAAACAAAGCAATAACAGCCTTGTAGGACTTATACATGGACTCTAGGCATGTAGACTCGCTCATACAGATGTACTCGTCAATGAGATCACCGGGCACTCCATATGGAAGCATTCGGATGGTGGCAGTGCATTTTTGATAAGAGGAGAAACCAATCTTGCCAACGACATCCTCTTTGCACTCGAAATAGTCACCATAGACGACCACCCGCTCTCTAATTTGGTTGAAAAGATGCCTACTCATACGGAAGCGGCGGCGGATTTTTTGATGTTTGAACAACGGATTTGTTGTATCAAAGTAGTCCTTCCAAAGAAGGAAATGCCCTCTCTCTCTGTTGTGATTCAATGCCGGAAGGTGGCCCGGAATGGAGCCACGGAACAACGGCTGCTGGCTGTTGAGGTGGTGATGGACCAACACGGCAGCCAATATCTCCTCCTCGTCATCGGACGACGAATCGTCGGAGTCGCAAAGGAAATTGTGAAAGAAGAACTCGTTGGCGGAGTCCATTTTGTACCTTGGCAAACTGTCGAACAACTTGTGGGCGTCGACGAAGGAGACGGCCGGCGAAGGGAGCCGCGGCGCGCACGGACCAGCTAGCTGCCTTGCCGGCGTCCGATGAGTGGGACGGCGTCCTACGAGCGTGCCGGTGAGGATCTGACCGGGGCGGCGAGGCGGTTTCTTGGTCGCGGTCGCGGCGGTGTGGTGGGGGAGCGGGGGTGGGAAGCAGTCGGCTCCCCGGCGGCAAGACAACAGTGGCGCGACGTGGGAGTTGGCGGCGTTGCTGGGCGGATGTTGCGATGCCGGCAGCTGGCAGAGTCACCAGAAAAAATGGGCGGCGGCATTGGTGACGAAGAAGGCGGGCGAGGGTTGCTGTTGGATGGGCCGCCTCTTCCACTAGACCTCGTCTTTCAAAGAGCAGCAGCCCTGCAAGCCTAATAGAACCTTGCTAGGGCTTACCTCTGACTCCCTTTTACTCCAGCATCTCAAATAATACTATAAAATATGTGCTTGCAATAAACAGAAGCTAAAGGAAGAAAAGCAATAAAACTAATTCACTTGCTTCTTGGGATCGATAAATGGCGAACCTGCCCGGAGCGAGCCCCCCTTAGAGGCAAGTGAAGTCTTCCGCTTTCCTCGCAGAGTTGGTTCTAGCTTTCACCAAAGGATCTCGATCGATGCTCGCATTTGGGCGGCTTTCGCTCAATCCGTGGCTATAGTGATAAGGCAAATCAAAGGGGTCAAAAAAGAAGATATAGAATTGTAGCTAACAGGGTTCGCTCGCCACCTGACGAAAGAGTTTGGTTGCTCGAAGGAAGCAGAAGCAAAACCTGCTTTCTTTCTGTCCCAACCTCCAAGGGCGTTGAGCAGGAACTTGAGCAATTCCAGAAACCTTAGAAGAAACTGGATATGTGGCAACAAGAAGGGCTTAGCCAGAATCTTGAAACAGGGGAACTATTAGATTTGCTAGCGTTCCGGGAGAATAAATAAGGTCATTTAGTAAGTCTCCAGGCATACTGTACTTGACCACCCTACTTTGCTTTGTCCCTATTAGGCCAATTGGCTGGCTTCCCTCAGCTCAGACTGGTGTCGCCACCTCTCCCAGGACCGGAATGATTATCCCCGCCCGATGGGTCTACATTCATCCCTGCCGAGAGCGAGAAAGCCTGTCTTCCCCGAGATTATTTATTCCTCTTATTTCTTATATGAATAACTGAAATCAATCCCTGCAGGTGCCGTTTTCCCCGCTGCCAGGCTCCCACCAGAGAGAGATCCCATTTCCATTTTTCTAGAGCAAGCTGGAAGCCAGGGAAGTGATTCCACAAGCTAGAGAGATTCTCCTCTTTTCTTTTTCAGAGTTGAGCTCGGGCTAAGGGGACATTCTTCATCCCGGAGGGCCGGGGAGAGGAGAGATAGCATCACTCTGACTTTGCCGGAAGGAGGTCACGGACTTTTTCTTTGTTCATTTTTTTAGATTGGAGGAATTCCTCATATCCAAGGCAGCTCCCCACAAACACCCCACCCATATGACTATGCCCCCTTTTGAATCGGGCTACTTTTTCCGAAACGCAGTCCGGAATAAGCCACTAGAAACATGATTCATGAATTCAAACTAAAAGCAAAGGTATCGCTAATTCCATTTCAGTGGAAATATAGGGATGAAAGTTTCTCTCCTACTGATTTCGCCGAGGGAAGACCACGCA